CCTCCAGGCTCCCCGGGCCCACAGGCTGGCTAGGCCTCTGAGCTTCTTCTTCACAGCGCGTCCTCCTTCCATCTGCTCCTTGTCACTCGAGGGCACTGTCAGCCACCCGCTCTCAGAAGGACTGACAACCAGGCACACGTATGCACACAAGCACCTGCAGACATGTACACAGTCCACAGTCCACAGCACACACATGTACACAGTCCACACGTACACCACACACACATGTACACAGCCCATAGCCCACTGCACACACATGTACACACCAACGTGCACACACCTGCACACGTACACAGCACACACAGGCACACGTGTACACACATACATGTGCTTGTGCGTGTGCACGCGCACACACACCAGCACACATGCACACACATACATATGCCTACACAAGGCACACACATACATGTGCCTGTGCATGCGTGCACACACCGGCACACGTGTACACACATACATACACCTACACACAGGCATACATATACACACATACATATGCCTGCACACCTGTGTACATAGTCCACACACATCTGCCCACACATGTACACAGCCTGCATCCATGTACACACACGTGTACATAGCCTGCACACACACTTGCACGCACAGGCACGTGCACACACACGCACAGAGTCAGATAAGCCCGTGAGCGCTGACCCACCGTTTTCCGGGTGTTCTCTCTGCGCCCTCTCCCCGGAGCCGTGGCCGTCAGCAGGCCTTCCCAGTGGGCGGTGGTGGAGGGTTTCAGTAGCCGGGTCCCTGCAGACATGAGGAGCTGAGCGCCGGGCGCCGTGGGCCTCCCTCCTGTGTGGGGTGCTCACAGCGTGTGTGTGAGGCCGGGGAGCCTCAGGGGCTCTGTTTTGGTGCCTCAGTACCCCTCGGTGGGCCCCAGGGACATGGTGATTCCCAGACCCGGTCAGGCCTGAGGGGCTGTTGGCCCAGGAGGTGAGTCCCTGACCCCTGGGGAGCGATCATACCCGTCTTCTCCCTTCTCGCTTCCGATTGATTCCTGGGGAGAAGGGACTCGGGCCTGGGGTGCAGCCCTCCCGCCTGGTGGACAAGCCTGGGATGGAGGTGACGGGGCAGGCGGGGTGCGTCCAGGCGCGGCTTCTGCTACTGGTCCGCACCGCACAGGCAGGTCGCGCTCACCTCGCCGGGCCTCAGTTCCCCGTCTGTCAGCTGAAGGACTGGCTGGATTGCCTCTTGATGACGGCCGTCAGGGGTGCCTCTCTTGTCCCCATGGGCTCACATCTTTGCCACCTCTCTCTTCCATGTCCTTCACCCTGCGGGTCCCACTCAGGTGGCTGGGAGCTTGAATTTTCCCAACTCGACCTGGTGTGAGCATGCTTTTTTGTGTGTGTGTGCTGTGTCCACAGTTAATTAAATTTTAATGGCTAATTGTTTCTCCCCAGGCCCCAAGACATTAATGGTTTCTATTGAAGCCTGGCAATTTGATGTTTGTTGCAAAAAAGGCGGAATGAGACTAGGAAGGTGAGAGGAAACAAATACCAAAATGTAACGAGTGCATCGCAACTAGTGTCC